CAATAGGGTGCATAGATATACAAATTATTTACATGGGTAAGATAGAATGTAGAAGAGATTTAGAAGAGAAGGTGTAAAGGTACATTCTGAATGTGTTAAACTTGAGATGCCCCTGAGATTTCAACTTGGAGATATCAAGGATGGAGATGAGGTCAGATTCATAAAATACACTAGAGATGAAATTTGGTATTCCAGTGAGAAAATTTAGGGAAAATATGCAAATTGAAAAGAGGTCTAGACCATGGCACTGAGAAATTTCAGTATTTCCAGAATTGCTTAATGCCAGCATAATTTTGAGAAGCAAGAAAGCTGAAGATTTTTGAAAGAATGCAATTATAACAGTGAGCCATAAATCCAAGTTGTTTGAAGAGGGATGTGAGGGAAGGGGCAGCTGAGAGGCAGTGAGAAACAGAAGAGTTGATATATGGGTGATACCTAAAAGGGTAAAATGTTCCTCAAGTATGTACAATAGGAAAGGAACCAGAGGGGCAGGAGAATGTGGTTGGAGAATGAGGTGTTTGAAATAGTGATTTCAGATGTGATGCCATTTCTAATCAAGTTCTATACAGTTAACAGGACATACACAAGGCTTAATGGAATAAACTCTAACAGAAATGATTTACTTCAGTTACTGGTAAATTTCTTTTTTCTTATCTTGTCTTTTCTTTTCCTTCCCTTCCTTTTCTTTTCATTTCATTTTTCTTTTCTTTTCTTTTCTTTTTTCTTTTCTTTTCTTTTCTTTACTTTTTAGGAGCACTTTGAAAGACTAACTTCTGTTTCTAATGGAGTTTATAGAACCTCTTTTTGAAGATATTGTTTGATTTTTAAAAGCAAAGTAACTACCCCAAACTTTCCTTATTTTAGCTATAATTTCTCTTAAGGAAAAAAGAATTGTGTATAACTGACTTCTCAAGATCATGGCAGTGGTATAGAATCCTTTGACTTCTAAGTAATGGGCTTTTTTAAAAAAGGAATTTTGTATTTTATTTTTACCTCTGGAATTGATTGATTGTATTCACATATGCAAATGAGCAAAATGTGTAAGACCTAAAGATATCATTGGATTAAATTATATGAATTTTTAAGAATCCATTATTAGTATGTTACAGGATCTAGCTAAGAGTTACTGTTAACTCTATGAAGTCATAGGCATAAAAAATGTTATTTTTATAATGTGAAATTAATGTTATTGAACAAAACATCTTATCAAATAATTTTGTAAGTCTGCTATAATCTGAGAGAAAATATAAACTCTATTAATAAATTCTTTTGTCTCACCCCATTAATATCATATCAGTTAGAGTTGGAACAACTCTTATTAAGACACTGAGTATCATAGGGGCACCTGGGTGGCTCAGTCAGTTAAGCATCTGACTCTTGGTTTCTGCTCAGGTCATGATCTCATGGTCGTGATCTCATGGTCAGGAGATCGAGCCCCACATCTGGCTCTGTACTGAGCTGAACATGGAGCCTGCTTAGGATTCTCTCTCCTCTCCCTCTGCCCCTCTCTGCTCACATGCTGGCTCACTTTCTCTCTCCCTCTCTCTCTCTCAAAAAAAAGTAAATAAATACAATAAAAAAAAAGTCATTGAATATCATAAAGGCAGTACAATGAAGAGCAACATGTAAACACAATTCACATGGACATTTCTTCTGAAAATAGTGAAATAATTGTATAAGATAAATAAATTTTCCCATTGTATAGGGAGAGGGCAACAAGTTCTTCTTTTACTAAAAATACAATTATTTAAACAGTAAGTCTGGGTGATTTGAAACATATTTCCTTGGAGCACCTTTCTGGGAACTAGGTGGTTGATTTGGCATGGGGAAGCTGACGCTAAAGCCAACAAACTGGAGCACTAAGCTGAAGTATTATTATTCAATCACTGGAATTTAGGGTAATTACGTTTTTTTTAATCTCAAGATTTTTTAAGAAAACAAATAAATTAATAAAACATTTAAATACATACACACTTCCAAGGCATATAGAATAATGTCAAGTGATAGGGAGCTTAAATGTCAGAGAAAAACGACAACAACAAAGCAACAGTAGTAGAAATTCAGACAAACTGGAGTCTGTCTGATTTGACCAGACCACGGTCCCCAATTCCAGGAATCTTGCTCAATAGCCACATTTTTTAAGTATGTGTTCTATACCATTTGATGGATAAAAACAAAACAAAACACAAAAGACAACAAGACAAAATAAAACAAAAACCCTGTGTTCTTCCAATGAAACGGTGCTATTTGAAACAAAAACTAGAAGTGTGTATAAATGTAGATATTTTTCTTAAGTAGGTGGACCTTTAGGGTCATTTTCTTAATGTTGTTCAATGTGATCTTCCTTTATGGGAATTAAGGACATACTGGCCATTCACTAGCTGTGTGTTATTATTGTCATTATGAATCCATTAGACATATTCAGGTGAGTTGAGTTACAGCCTTGTGACCAAATTCTCCTTCTCCTACTTTTAGCTTAGCATTTAATAGAATAAAAATTGTTCCTTATTTATTTTGCCTATGGTAAAAATTCTAAGAAAATATAAAAGTCATCTCCTGTGCCCCTGGATATCAATAGAACTATTGGGTGCAGTGAGTTTTAAGGTGTTGAATTTTGTCATTTATTAAAGCAACCAGTAACACACAACTACATCTAATAAACTTAGTAGTAGTAACTGAATCTAGAATATTCTACCCCAAGTATAAAGTTGCATGCTGTGGGGTAGGGTGGGGCAAAGAGATCTAATGTTTAATAAGAGTATGCAGTTTCTATTATCTTCAGAAGCTTTATTTTCTTTCTTTAAAATGGTATAAAACATTTGCATATAAACAAATATATACATACTCTAGTTTGCAAAAGAGATAGGTAGCATGATTGCAGTAGATGTTATTTTAGTTTGAAAGTTAAACTTGGAATACTCTACCTTATGGAAGAACCCAAACTAAGAGATATGTCAAATAAGACTTTTATCTTAATAACCTTGGGAATATTAGCAACTTCAACTTAATTCTTAGGTCCAAATTACAAATAAATTTGCACACATCAACATTTTTTTTGCAGTTTGATATGTTATTTAATTACTTATAATGATTTACACACATAGTAGATGAGCTAAAAATGTTGGTATGAAATGTAGGTAATTTTGCATTAAAATTACACCAGCCTGTTTAAAAAACTGAATTTATCGGGCGCCTGGGTGGCTCAGTTGGTTAAGCGACTGCCTCCGGCTCAGGTCATGATCCTGGAGTCCAGGGATCGAGTCCCACATCGGGCTCCCTGCTCGGCAGGGAGTCTGCTTCTCCCTCTGACCCTCCTCCCTCTCATGCTCTCTGTCTCTCATTCTCTCTGTCTCAAATAAATAAATAAAATCTTTAAAAATAAATGAATAAAAAAAATAAAATAAAAATAAAAAACTGAATTTATCATTAATTTTGCCAGTGCATCCAGTCTACCAATCTATCAATCTTCTAGCATCTCTCCACGAGATAAGAGAGGCTCAGTCAAAGTATTTTCCTTAATATTTCTTTAACTTTTAAAAAGAACATCTTGTTTGGAGTCTGTTGGTCACCAGATTTATCAACCTTTAGGAAAATAACCCCTTTCATGGCTCAATCAGAGCCTCATCTAAAATTCAGTAGAATATAAGATTTCAAGCTGCCATCCCCACTCCTGTTTCCATGGGAATAGACTTCAGATCAGGAAAAAAAAAATGGATGGGGTTAGGAGCTTTCAAATAATCATTCAAAATCATGATGAAGCTTTTAGAGCTTCTTTCTTAGGTGATTATTTTGTAGCCTCTTAATCCCTTTTTGCCAGTCTGTTTCCATGGAAATATGACAAAAATGGCTGTCCAAGCCTCCAGCAGAGATTACTAGCATTCTTGTGAATTTCAGCTTTGGCTGCAGTCTAGGCTGGTCAAGAACTTTTTTTTTTTTTAATCAGTTTTACATATTAGCATACACTGTTTATATTCATTGTTCTTTTCTTCATTATTTTTACTTAGAAAATTCCCTTCACAACTATATACCTATAATCAAGATCAAATTGATTGTGACATCACTGAAAAAAGACTTTAGCTTTACATTTTACTACATGAGCCAGGACATGTAGCTGCAGAGAGTGTCAGAACTTTTAGACACCTACAGAAGGAAACACCATTTAGTTACTGGATTCAGTATCTGTCAGGTGTTGGTAGATAAGTAAGGGTGGTATTCAAAATATTTAGCAACTGGTAAGGTGCAGCACCAACTGATCAGAGCAGCTGGTTTGTACCAGTCAAGTATCAGCCCTATTATCTAATAACCAATATGTTGCTGAACTAAAAGCAGCCCGATATAAGAGAGTAAGCATTTTACACAAATAAATTATCCAACATCAATTTACAAAAGAGCTTACGAGAGAAACTGGGTAGAAATATATAGCAATCCATATTTAAAGTGCATATGCTTGCATCATCTTTCATATGAAGGTCATTTAAAAATCAAAATCATTCTTATTATTGAAGACATTATATTAAATGAGAAAGAATATATATATGGGTTTTGTAAGAACCCCCGGCAAGATACCTTGTGTTGAATGTGAAAAAAAATAACAGCATACTACATAGATATTTTATCTGTCCTACCTTCTGAAATTTGCTGAACAGCTCAATCTACAATTTTTGCTAGGGGAAATCTTAAAAGTTCTGATTGACCTTATAAAGAATTTTTATTCTTCAGAACTCTCTTATTTTTCTATAGTTGGAACTTACTACCCATAAGGTTTGTCTTCTGAATTTGAACTGGAAAAAAAGTAAATTTCAATTGGTAATTATCTGACTTAGGTAGGTTCCTAATTTAAATTTAACACTAACTTACTATAGAAACTAATCTTGATTGATGTTTTCTGGTAACATCAGAAATTTTCTATTCTAACATAGAATACAGTACAATTTCTATTCTAAAAGCAGTCTATTAATAATGGATAAAAATGAGATTGCCTGGTGTCTATCTATACTTACATCCATGAACTCCACATTGGCTTTGGGACCAGTTGTTTCATTAAGAATCTTAATAGCCACAGGAATCTTTACTGTTTCTCCTTCAGGTACCCAAATACCCTTTGGGGGAAAAAAATCACATTAAATCTATATAAAGATATACAAATTTATACCAGAAACAAAATTTGATTTAACCACTCAATCTATTAATTTCTTAAAAAATAATTTAGATGTTCTATATTCTTTTGTTCAATCAACAAACATTTATCTAATACCTGTTGTATGTTACAGTTACATAGCAACTTTGTTGTCTGCTTTCATTATCTGAAGATGAATCATATATTTATTCTGCTGTTAAGGTGTTTATTATTATATTATAAAGCATTGCTATTATAAAAGTCAATTAGTATGTGTGAAAAAGGCTTTTAAGGGTGACAAAAATGAAATAAGATACAATAATGTTAGATTTGGATGATATATCAGCTTCTTAAAGAGACTTGGGGAACACTGTTCAAATTTTTGATCTTCAGTTGTCTCATTTGTAATTTAGAAGATTGGGTTCAGTAATGTTGGAGGTTCTTTTCAGCTTTAATATTATCTAATTATTCTGCAACTAAAACAAATAAAAAGACATATTCTCATGTTCCTGAAGTTTGGATTGATTTAAGAATTAGTTTACTAAGGCGATTATTTAAGAATTAGTTTTCGAAGGCAAGTACTAGGGAGTACTGAGCACATATTAATTTGTTTTTATTATCAAATGTTGTGTATGTGTGTTTCAAGGATTTTTATTATCTCTGAATATAAAATATCTATACTGGTCATTGCCAGTTCTCTTTTCCTACAAAAATATAATTATAATATCTGAACAATCAACACACTGGGAAAGTATAAAGTAGATAGAGCTTGAGTCAAGTACAACATTAAGGTAAATGACAGCATTCCTGAGTAAACAATTCAACCATTTGATTTAGGATAATAATTTTGATAAGACATAGGGGGATGCATCAATTATATAAGAATTTTTTTAAAGCATATCGTCTCAAATGAATACAGAAGCAAGAAAATCTCAAATTTTAATTTATTAGCCCTGACATCGAAAAAAGTCTTCTTAGTCCAGTTTTAACATTAAAATGAAAGGGGGAAAAAATTCTTATTCCTAAAGAGAATATCTCTAGTTTTTCTTAATATCAGTTGGTTGTAGTCATAAAGTAAAAAAAAAAAAAAGTTTTTCACTTTGTACTTCTATGCTAAAACATATATATTTGTGTTATTTAAAGTTACCATAATATAAGAGGAGACCTAAACACAAGAATTATTAAAAAGTCAGAAAAATACAGAAAAAAAAGGCTTTAACCATTAGGAGGTGAACTTAAGAGTTATGTTCTTCTTAAAGTGAATAGGGAAATCTATGTGTCAAATACAAAAAAATAAGCCAAGTTCCTTGTGGTATAATTTTTTTTTAATTATTAATGTAGAAATGGGGGGGAGGGGAAGCCCAAGATCCATAGGCTACATTTTCTTAGTGATGGTATCTAGGGTAGAGAAAGGCTTACCATTATTCAATAAAGCAACCACATGGGGGTTACTTTATAGAATATGAATGTTAAAATATTCCTAAAGTATACTTTTGGAATTGGGTATAAATTCAGTGTGAATTAATTCGTACTGCTTTTTAAATAAGTATAGTCATTATTTTCTAGGCCTGACCAGACAAAAATTCAACTACACTAATACCCATGGTATTGGTTCAAATCTTTCATGCTTAAACACAGCATATTTCCAACCAGGAGAAAAATCAACCAAATAATTAGCTAAGCTAATTTGCATTTTTGTGGTCAAGGATACTTCTTTATAGATTAAGACAATATGCCTTGGTAAGAACTAACATATTAATTAAAACTTAGGATCAACCATAACACACTGTAAGTATAAAATTCAAACATACTTACGGAACTTTCAATACACGTAATTTCAGTAAAGGTACAATGCTCTTGGACATAGGCAAATAGTTGTTCATAATAAAAACATTTATAAAGCTTTATAATTAAATGTCCAAATGGTATCCATGATTTAAAATAAAATTCACTTTCCAGACAATACCATCCTTAAAATAAAAGTCTGATTATATGCTAGGAACAATCCAAAATTGAGTTATCTTTGAAATGAAAGTCCATTATTTCTAGCGTAATATAAATAGAAAAACAGGATAAGTTGTATTTCTTCAAACATACAAAGAATTTGAAGACCACAAAGCACCAAGTCAGCCTAGAATAGTTTCTATTCAAATTAGGTGCTCAATTAATAATTTTGGGTTTAACTGAACAAAATACGCATACTAAGAGATTAAGAAATTTCTGTATTTTGGCCTTAGAATAAGATAATTTTATTTTAAAGAGATTAAATCATTTTTGGAACACTCAGGAGGGAAAATTAAGGTTTATATTCTAATTGTTAATATTTTTTGTTAAATAAATATTTGTTTTAAGTAGGAAAAAAATGAACATTTTAAAGTGCAAAATTTCTAAGATCCAGTCTATTTTAACAGAAATGTTTGTAAAAACTGCAGGCTTGCATATAGCTTTAAGAAATATATAAAACTGTCAAAGTAAAATTTGGGGAACTGTCACAATGGATATTACAAGAAGGGTTTAGCACTAACCCAGCAGAGTTTCTTATAGTTGTTACTTACATTAAAAATAAATCTCACCACAATTAACCTTAGGCCTGGCCTTTGAATCGGTTTTATAATTAAGCTAAATAAGTAAACATGCAGATGACATTATCTGAACTTTGCCTTTCCAAAAATCTCTCTCTTATTGGAAACCCATGATTTCACCCTTCGTTCTATCTAACCTGAATTTCACAAATAAAGTCACTTTTTTAGTTTGCATATAATGGTGAGGACATCAAAACTGAAAATATTCTGCTAAATTATATCCGTTAACAGGTAGGCAAAAAAGTGGTTTAGGAACTAATCCTATCCTGTTAACAAATCAGCACATTTGTGTAGATCCTAAGGAGATAGGCAGTGCCATCCCGATGGGGAGACGTGGGAATAAAAGGGCATAAGAAAAGAAGAGCAAGGATTATGGCATATGGCTCAGGCCTGTCTGGGATTCCATGGAGCACTGTGTAGGGGGAAGGAAAATGGGCTAGCACAGTGTATTTTAGATAAGGACAAAATTTGCCAACAGGGAGATGCTATCAAAAGCAGATCAGAAGGGCATGGAAAGTGAATACTGTGGCTTTTTGTGACAGTTTCCTGCTTTCCAATGCCAGTTTCCATCCCAGCTTGCTCAATAAAAATGAATGATTTCATTTGTGTAGCAACTTCTCAATACGATACAGGTTCTCCTCTCTGAATATTAAAAGGAAATTAGGTTAGCTAGAGCAATAACTCTGGCTATTATTTAAGACAAGTCTGAAACAAAAAACAACTGGTGGCGTGGGTTACTTTTTTACTTACCTTATAAACTGTTCCAAAAGCACCTGAGCCAAGTACTTTCACTCTTTTGAGCTCAGTTTCTTTCAAAATACGAAGTTGAGCTTGATTGGGTGCCGTACCACTGGGAGTTAAGGGTTCTACCAACTACAAAACAAAAAGAATTCAGGTTCTATAACCTTCAATTCCAGTCAGTGCCTCTCCCTCTTCCTCTGCCTGCTTCTCTTTCTCAGACATACAGAAAAACACACAAGCACACCTTCCTTGACAAACAATATTTTTGTTGTATGGATCACTCACTATTCCCTCAGAGTCTAGCCTCTCTCTTCTCATGCTTTTTGCCTGGGTGAACACAAGTATAAAAGTGTGTCTACCTTGAGGCATACTAAGCTAGGAGATTTGCCCTCACCACCCCTCCTCATCCCCGCCCCCCCAAGTTTAAAGAAATTTAGGCTAATAGGGGCTCTCAATCCTACTTTTTGAAGCCCTTCCAGTTTTGATATCTCCAGCTAAGACTCAGATCTCAATTAAATCCATGTACTCTATCAAAATTTTCTTTCTCATTTTAGGAGACTCGATACATAGAAAAATAAAATCTAACTAGGAAGCCAGGACAAATGCGTCAGAAGAGAAGAAAGTAAGTTAACACAATACCAATACCCCAGGACAGTGCTTCTAAAACTTCATGTACATTTGAATTACCTGAGGTTCTTGTTAAAATGCAGATTCTAGTTCAATAAGTCTAAGGCTGGGGTTGAAATTTGCATTTTTGCAGAACTCGAGGTGATATCTATGTATGATGATGGTCCTTGAACACATTTTAAGTAGCAAGGCCCTAGAATACTTTACAGATCAAATATTCTAAAATTCTATGAAATGATTCTAGATCCCAAGTGAATGCTATGGCATGCAAAGGGATAAAATAGCCATCAGTGAGGAAGTTTCACTAGTTTTGGCTTCCTGGAGGAGGCACACTTTAGAATTGGTCTTGAGGGGCACCTGGGTGGCTCAGTCTGTTGAACCTCCAACTCTTAGTTTCGGCTCAGGTCATGATCTCAGGGTCCTGAGATGGAGCCTGGCTCTGGGCTCTGCGCTCCGTGTGGTCGGTTTGGGATTCTCTCTCTCCCTCTCCTTCTCCCCTGCTTGTGCTCTCTCTCTCTAAAATACATACATACATACATACAATCTTTAAAAAAATAAATAAAATTGGTCTTGAGATAATAAAAATGGATTGACATGGAGGAGGATATTACCATTGTGAAGAACAGTTTGGACACAGCATTAGGAAGGAGGAAGAAGACATAAAGCAGAATACAATAGGGGGTAGGACAGGTCTAAAGGATGAGATTTGGGTGGGAAATATGAGATCATAAAGTGGGCTGGGTGTGGCCAAAAGGGATAAATTCAGGTAATTTTAGATGTTCAGTTTATTTGCCATTTAGCCAGAGAGGATGAATAAGCAGAGAAAAGGTATGTGAATGTGTACCAATTTCTTGCCTATGTGAGAAGAAAACAAAACAAAATGAACGGTAAATATGAGAGAGACTCTGAGTACTAAAAGTCTATATCTTATGTTAAAATTTTAGGTTTTTTAATGCTTGGGTAAAAAAGCAAGTAAGAGAAATAGAAGTTTCTTTTTTTAAAGTTAAATAAAGAACTAAACTTTAAACTCAGACAAAAAGCTTGTTCTCTCTCAGCATAAGGAAATAATTAAAGGCAACTCCTACTGAAATGGTCTTGAAAACCATCACAGTATTTCACAGTGTCTGTTTACAATGCTAAGTGCACTGTGACCCTGTGACTTGTTTATTATTACGCTTCTGTGAACATCATGGTCTACTTAAGTAGCTGAACAGAATCTTGATTATAAGTAAGTGTAGCGATAGTAAGCAAGAATTTGGAGAAGATGATAAAATTATCAATAAATTTGGGCTCTGTCTAAAAGTTTGACAACAAATATGCTTCTATTTCATTTTCAAATTTATATTTTTAAAAATGCATATTAAGTCACATAAAATAAATCTCAGAAAGAATTACAAAATTCTCTGTAAAATGGGAAAAAGAATCTCCATCAGAGCATCTCCTTTATTTGAATCCAACTCTGCGGTGCAGAATTTGTTTAGTAGATTTTGATACACACACTGTATGTATATAATCAGGAACTTTAATGAATTATTATTTTTTTAAAGGCAAAGCCTTCTTTTTTCCTAAGATTTCTTTTTCTTTTTTTTTAAGATTTTATTTATTTATTTGACAGAGAGAGAGAGAGAGACAGCAAGAGAGGAAATACAAGCGGGGGGTGGGGTGGGAGTGGGAGAAGCAAGCTCCCCGCGGAGCAGGAAGCCCAATGTCGGGCTCGATCCCAGGACCCTGGGATCATGACCTGAGCCGAAGGCAGACACTTAACGACTGAGCCACCCAGGTGCCCCCTAATGAATTATTTTTTAAATCACATAACAAATTATATAAAAATCATATGCAAAATTGGAGACTAGATTTCAGCATTTGGGGCTATGTACTTTTAAAATATACGCTTTGGCATATAATATGCCATAATTCCATATTTTGAAAACCTCACAGTTCTACCTGAAATGTTTAGTCTCCTGCAATTTTCTTAGATATCACTTCAAAATTTATACAAACACATTTTTCCAGGAATTTGAGAATGATACCTCTGAAAGAAGCATTGTTTCATTTTGCGAGCCAGTATGGCAGAAAGAGTGTCAAGTTTAAAATTGTAGGTTTGTACACTGGTACTGCCACTGATAGGCTGAGAAAGCAAATTACCCCTCCTACCCCCTTATTTCACACCTGTGAAATAGGTACAGCAGTAATTACCATAGAAGATTGTCAAGGGACGAAATGGGAGGTAGCATAGCTGGAAAACTTTGGAACATTGCCTGCCATATTGTAGGCACTGAATCTGTCACTCTTCAAGGGATATGATCACGTCCCATTAACATTTTCTAATCACAGGATCTATCAAAGCATCAAGCTTACAGTGCATCTCGTAAGAGTATGTTGGAAAAAAAAAAACATTTTCTACTTTTGTGCATGCAACAGAAGACAGACAATCTGGAGCAATATGATTCTGGAAAAGCGTATTAACTCTAAGTACATTCCAACAATATATCATGCTTTAACAAGTTTTTCACATCTGAGACAAATTTCTAGCTTTAGTATTTAAGGATTTGAGTTGATCCTCTTAAGAATTCCTCTTCTGTTTAGATGATAGAAAATCACAGTTATTTACTTTTACTGAGAGAAAGATGGAAATTTTACAATTATCTAATTTAGTGGTAAGCAATAACTTTTTATAAAAAATAGAGTCTGCTTCTAAAACCAATCAGTATGTGTTTATTTAGTAATGAAATGTCAATTTGAAGGACATTTCTAGAAAGCACTGTATTAAAAAAGAAAACAAACAAAATGAATATTTTTATAGCAATGGGACTTTCCTGCATGTGGTTAAGGGACAGATTCCTTTCCTATTTATTCAATCACCTAAATGTCCACTGCTGTTCCAAGCCTTCATTTCCTCTCCAATTCTAATTTACTTCACTTAGAATTTTCTCCACGACTGCCCCAAGCTGGCCATGAGGGAGAATTCTGCCTCCAGCATCCTTGCTAAACTGAAAATATGCACAGCACATGTGTTGTGTCCAAACTTGTATTCACATGTGCAAGGTTGAAAATGATCAAGTTGATCTTTTGTAAACATCCAGCTCAAGTAAAAACTACTACTATTTTTTCTCACATATATAACTGACTGCCTATCTTATGCTTGAACATCTCTATCGATAAGACAACCCATTCTAATTTTAGACAACTCCAATTCTTAGACATTCTTTCCTGCATGGAATTAAAATAGCTTCCCGAACATTTCACATGATTCTTCTATCTAGTTTCAACTTTTGGAGGAAGAGAGCTAAAATTTAATTCATTATCAGTTTGCAAAATTTATGAATGAATATTCTCATTCCTGTCTGTGTTAAGAGGAAAAGTCAAACTGTCACACTGACAATGAGCAAAAAAAAAAAACAAACAAACACAGATCTAGAGAAGGCTAAGTCTCAGTACAGAATTGCTTTGAGCTGTTCAAAGAGCCATGGATGTGTGTATCAGGAGAAAGAAGGTAAGGTGCAAGTTGAGAAGGATCTGGCAATGCATAGTTTTCTGTAATTGTTTTTCCTCTGTAACCTATACAGTAAAAACTATCACCTTGCATGTTAGAGAACTCAGTGTGGCAATATAAGAGAAATTGTAATAATTTGTGGGTAATTTACATATTCACAATAACTAACATGCATAACATTAAATGCTTCCCATAAATTGTGTGGTAAGGTGTGTGTGATTACAATAGGAAGGTTTATCCTGTAAGCTCAGCTTTTCACTGTTGGTATAATGAGATCAGTGGCTACCAATTTAATGACTCTAATTAAAGCATAAATTGCTTGCCTATCTGGCTTTATTTTGAATCAGAAAAATTCTCTCTTTCTAACATTTTTCTAGTTCTGCTGTTGAGATATTCTCTCCCCAGATGTTTTCTAGTTCTGCTACTGTAATATCCTAGAACTCTAGTGGGATTCCTCCTCCAAAAGAAACAGGTACGTCTTTTCAAAAAGATCTGTCATTCAATCAGATAATCTCCTTGACCTCTGCCATTTGTCCTCTTTAAAGCCATGAAACTGCCTTGACTACTTTTACTATATACTCTGATTTTCCATCAATTCTATAACATACTATGAACTGTAAACTCTCAGCAGGAAATTGAACAGAGTTCACTTGGATTAAAAAACCGAGTATCATCTAAACCTTCTAAACCTAATGAAAGTCCCTAAGCACATGGAGAAAAAATAAACACCACACCTCTGTTTCCAGAAATCTTCTTAAGGCTCTTTTCTTTTTGATGCTCTTCCTTCTAACATAAACTGCAAATGTTAGACCCATGATGACCAGGATGAAGAGCCCGCCGATGACTCCCGCTGCAATTAGGGGAGTTCTGCCCACCAGAATGAAAAAGAAGAAGAAAAAAAAAAGTAAGAAGAGAGACAAGACAGAGGGAGAAAAAGAGCAGTTGTGCAATAAATACATTATCCACATATCACAGGTCTAGTCAGTTAGAAGAAATACAAATAAAAAATGCATTAAAGCCATCACAAAATTTTGGGGGGAATAAAAACTATTCCCGCTTTTTGTTTTGCTTTGTTTTTTAAATAAACCATGCACATACAACTAATCTTTGGAGATGAGTGGCCACAGCATGCCATTCAACAACAACAACGACAACAACAACAAAATAATACTTGGTAACAGAATGAAGAACACCTGCCTAAATGTTGATATACAAGCATTTAAAATTATTTTCATTTTACTTTTTCTCTAAATAGATGGAAATATATTTTAATAACATTGTTGTGGTATATAATATTATTTTCAACATTTTATCTAAAGTAGGCTTTCTCAACAGTGGCACTATTGACATTTTGGGCTGGATACTTGTTTGCTGTGGGGGACTGCCTTAAGCATTTTGGAGTGTTTATCAACATCCTTAGCCTCCATCCACTAGATGAAAGTAGCACCCCATCCACTAGTCACGGCAGTTTCTCTAGATACTGTCAAATGTCTGCCAAAGTCACCCCCCAGCCCCACTCCCCTGCTTTGAGAACTACTGCTTTAAAGCGAAAATGCATGGTCTGGAGATATATGAACCTCACACCTCTGGAGCATTAGGGTACCAGTAAGAGAGATGTATTGATAAAAGTGCTGTTTCAAACGCTGGCTAGGCAACTCTGCTGGGATAAAGGGCGGGAAAAAGGTAAAGAATTGGGTCAGACAGGTTTTCAGAGTTATAATGACAGGAGTAATCATGCTTATCAAAAGTGTGCCGAAGCATCATATACCCATAAAAGAGGTCTACACATTAAGTACTACATTAAAAGGGGGTTAGAAGAGATTCACTAGAGATTTGTATTCTTAAAGTGTTTCTCTAATACATTGTTAGCTAAGATATAATTTTGAAACTAATCACTTATTGTTTTCAAAGATAAATTTTTTCCTTGCCTGAAAATAATATTTATAGTCTTAACTTCTTGTTCGAGAGTAGAATAGTATCTATGAGCTTTCTGTGGTCAGAGCCCTGACGTATATTAATTTCATATGTCACAGTAAATAGCCCACAGTAAAACACATAGGTGTTACCTAACACATATTTGACCATGAAGCCATCACAGATATGAAAACTAAAAAAGAACTTCCTGAATGTCCATGCTTTCCATAGTAAAGTATTTTATACCTTATATTCCTATTTGCAGAAGAATCTACCCTGTACAGCTACATTCTTTTAGAAAAAAAAAACTACTTGCTCTTGCAAAATAAACTATTGCTCAAAGACACATCAGGAATAATGATAGTGGATGATCCTAAATAAAATGTTTAAATTTTAAAGAGCTCTTGAAAAAAATCTGTGTCACTTCGATAAATGAAGCTATGTCTTTTAAAGATTATGAGTGTTATATTGCCATATAAAACTACAGAAAAACCTTAAGAAGTATTTCATCCTAAAGGTTGTTTCCTGACAGCCGAAAGTAGTATAGCATACTGGAATGTTGCTATAATTCAACCAGATTTCCCTAAATGGAACTTTATAAAGATATAAAAATCTATGCTGAGAAAATTAAACTGTAGTATGGACACAAACTCATCATTGTGATGTGTTTTGGCGTGTGTAAGATCATATTTTTGAGCATGGCAGTTAAATATGTATTTCAAAAAATATTTTAAGTTTTCTGTTCAAGGCATAATTTCCAGTTCAAGTGCCTAACATATCCCTGGAAAAGCCATTACTATACAAAGGGTTGTATTTTTTTTCTTCAACCCGATATTTTTATTGCAAAGGATTTATGTATTTCTGAGAATAGTGCCCAACATTTTATTAATTGTACATTTGAACTAAACTCTATACTTCCCCTGCTTATCTATTTTGCAAAAGCATAAGTGGCATGAATTTATGAAAATATATGTCAATGTCGCTGTAAATTAACAGAAAATGCTCTATTTTGTTTTTGTTTGTTTTCTATTTTAAGAAGAATGATTCCTAATAGAACAAAATAAGACTTCTGCCTCCATTCTTTCCATTTAATTTGGGTGGCTATCAATTGTCATGTCATTACTACTTAGTTAGGTTGCAGCAATGCACATAAAACACTCAAAAACTCAATAGACAGTAATTTCTATGTTTTTCTAGTTAGCATTTACATTCAATACTTTCCCATAGCAGTTCCTTGGTTGATTTGCATTCTTTACCGTTTTTATTTTCTTACCCCTCTGCAGGAGTGGTAGAGGTACAAACAACCCGAGGAGGTAAAGAACTAGAGTTTCTACACCTAAAAATCGTACACAAATGTTTTGTTTTACATTTTAAGTGGTCAAATTCTTCATATTTCAGTAGAATTTATTCTTGAAAAATAAATCATAAACCATAAGTAAGCAACCAGTTAATTGAGAAGGGGGAATATTCCATAAGACAACTTGTATGTTCCCTTTAATAAATGAATATGAAAAATAAGGTACTGGCTTTGATTAAGAAGACTTACTAGTCATAACAACAAGATGTGAAATGCAATCCTGGACTGGACCTTAATTTGCACAACCATTTGTATAGACATTTTTTAGGTAATTTGAGTAGTTTGATTATGGATTAAGTAGTGGGTGAGATAAAAATGTACTGCCATGGAAAGATGCAGGCTAGAAATTTAAAAGATTGGGTTAGAAACAGTAGAATCTCAATGAGAGAAAATCCATACACACACATGTATGTGCATAAGAAGATCTAGAATATACAGTAAGACACTAAACAGTACTTGTCTTTGGATAGTATGACCATAGTGCTCTTATTTTTGTATTTTTACCATTTAATGGGCATTTTCTCATTTTATTTTATTTATTTATTTATTTTAAAGATTTTAT